TTGAAAATGAAGCCATCGGCGAAGCCGATTTCGAGCCCAGGCAGGACGGAGAAATTTCCGCCGCCATTGATGAGGTTTTTGAGGAGCAATGTGGGAAGTAAAAGCAGAGGAAGGTCGCGTGCGAGTCCGATGATGTTCATGAGAAAGAAAAACAACGCCACCGCCATTGAAACCCAAGAGCCTTCGTCCCCTAAAGTCACTTGCATCGGCCAGGTCCGAGTTCGCCGCTCCTCCACGCGCCGTAGCAGACGCTCTGGTACTCCTACGCGCCGCCGTTGCCGCTGGATCCGAGCTGCTCTGTTATGCCCCTGTTTTCGAAAGAAAATCAAGCCCAATTCTTCTCAAATATTTCAGAGATGGGTCTCATTTTTCCAAGTTGGGTTCCGCCGAAAATCGAGAAGTAGAAAAAAATCGCCGCCGCATGAAACCCCCGTCCACGGCGGAATTGAAATTCCGAACTCAGAAACACAAGTTGTCGCCCCCATCGACGATGACGAAGGAGAAGAAACAGTCGAAGCGTTCATTTCTTCTCATTCTTCGCCGCCCAAAAATGCATTGTTGCTAACAAGATGCAGATCTGCTCCATATCGATCGACATCATTAGCGAGTAGATTTTGGGGCTCTCCTCTGAGAACCGAGAAAAATCACGAAGAAGAAGAAGAAGAACAGAGCACAAAGCCCAACAATGGCGGAAAAACGGTCGAAATTGAGAAACCCACATCCCAAAGAGCCTCAGTTTCTGATCAAGATCCGAGTGGAGGCTTAGAATTCGAGGAGGACAAGAAATTTATGAAGAACATCGACGACGATTCCACCACAGAAATCATCAAATCGGGCAATATCGAACGAGAAAAAACAGGGGAAGAAGAAGAAGCACTAGGAAGCTCGTCTCGGCCCTTGATTTTGACACGTTGCAAATCTGCGCCGTCGAGAACGGCGGAGAAGATGAACCCAGAAATGGGATTCTGGAAAAGGAGAAGGTTGGGGATTACTGATTCAAGCTCACCAACAATTCATGATATATAAACCAAAAAACCACTTCAAAATCTCAATCTCCTTACTGTTTCATTGTTTTTACTTAAATATTGATAGTTTTTTTTTTTTGTATAAATTCCTCATATCTGAAGCTGTGAGAACAATCTCCATAGCTTCAATCCCAGCTTGGAGTTTCGCTAATTTTCTTGACCCATCAAAATCTAGAGCTTCTGTATTTAATGCCTCTCTCTGTAGATGCCTTGGCATGGCACCATTAATATACACTTTTTCAGACAGGGAATAACTTTTGGGTTTCTTTTTTTCTTTTTGGATTGGAAATTGAATTAAATGTTTTTTGCTTTTGGTTATTTCACAACTTCTTGTAAGTTGTAACTTCTAGGAGTTATGGAATGGAGAGCTTTAAATAAAGCATCTTTGGATACTCTGACTGAATTTATTATTATTTTTTTTTTTAAAAAAATATTGAAATGGACAATTTTGTGTAATCGGCAGAAGACCCATCCTTCCCCATTCTTCACATGTCCTGTCTCCTTCCACATTCTTCATCCCTCAAGAACTCACAATTCATTTTTGTTCAATTATGTGACTTTATCTCTCATTATGTGCAATTTTATTTGGAAAATTGAAGTTTGTATCAATTCATATCAACACGTTAGTAAGTATCAAACGTTTAAATTCAGCTAAAGGGCAATTGGCATCCGAAATTTAACCAGAGGAACCGTGGGTTTAGCAGGAGGAATACAAAAAACAAAATGGCCTACTGCTTTTGCCCATATGAAAAGATATACTGAGTTGCCTGCGGTAGTGTAGTAGTATAGCAATGCAAGCAAGTGAGCTAAATGACAACAAAACAAAACAGGAAAAGTCTAAAAGCTGAGTGTTTTGTATCAGCGTTTTGCCTGTTCGGACACAGAAGGCGCAATTATGTTGATTGAGACTTGAAAACAATGAATCCCACAAAAACGCAGAAAGGGGACAACATCACTTACTTACTTCACTGAAAGGTAAAGCTTTTCCAGGCTTCAATGTTCTCCAGTGTTCCACCAAATTCAAGTAGCAATGGCCCCCCACAAGAACATGTCTTTTCCCTAGTTGACTACATGTTTCTTGTCACAAATTCGTGAGTGTATTCCTGTTGAAAAGAGTGTCCCTTGCAATTTCCTTAACAGAGCTCCACACATCCACTCAACCAACCAATGTAATCTCTCTCCTCTCTAGAGTATACATTCTAGCCAACCCCACCCTTTCAAAAAAAAAAAAATCTACCGTAATAGCCCAAACTCAATGTTAATAGATATTGTATCTTTGAGGTTTTTCTTTCGAGTTTTCTCTCAAAGTTTTCAAGACTCATCTGCTAGGGAGAGGTTTCCATACCCTTATAAACAATGCTTCGTTCAACCCACGAGAGATCTCACAATCCACCCCCTTCAGGACCCAGCGTCCTCGCTGGCACTCGTTCCGTTCTCCGATCGATGTGAGACCCCCCAATCCACCCCCTTTGGGGTCAGCGTCTTTGCAGGCACACCGCCTGGTGTCCACCCCCATTCAGGATTCAGTTTCCTCGCTAGCACATCGCCCTATGTCTAGCTCTAATACCATTTGTAACAACCAAAACCCACCGCTAGCATATATTGTTCTCTTTGGACTTTCCCTTTTAGGCTTCCCCTCAAGGTTTTTAAGAAGTGTTTACTAGAGAGAGGTTTCTACATACTAATAAATACTAATAAATACTAATAAATACTGTATCTCACATTTGCAGTCCAAAAAAAAAAAAAGAAAAAGGATTCCAACAGTAAAAAGCAATTGAGCTAAGGCTGTTCAAAAATGGAGAAACAAAAATATTTCTGGTGTGTGCAAAAAAGAGAAGATGGGCATAAGTAGTGAAGAGTCAATGGCACGTAGAGAAAAGAGCCCATGTAATAAGAGTTAAGAAACTCATGATCAAGTTCGATTTCGGAAGAGTTTAAGACAGCAGAAATAGGAAATACCTGTAGCAACTTTCAAGATAGTCTATGTAGGAAAATTTGGAGAATCAAAACGTTCTACAGAGAAGGAAACCTCGGGGAGCTAAATTTTCTCTTTTTCTGTTGTTTTTTACTCTCCAGGTGCAGACACTCCTTGCTTCAGTCTGTCCCTCTTCATCTTCTTTTTAGATACTGGCTTCTTCTTCTTGGGAGGGAGATTCTTCTGTGCATACAAGTAAAGTGCATAGTTCCCTACGAGGAAAATCAGCAGCAACCCACCAACAAGAAGAAGAACTATTAGCGCTGGATTCAATCCTTTTGCTTCAACGTCATTGATCACATTGCCCTGTTCACTTGCAGAACAACAATTAATAACCCATCACAATGAGCCACAAACAATTTTGGTGAACACAGCACACCATATCATATTTCCCTGTTCATATTATGAATGGATCCAATGAAGGAATGACTGATTAGGCGCTTTCAGAAATGGAGAACTCATAATTCACCTACAATAGGCAGTTTCGTTCATAGTTATATCTTAACACTAAGCATAAACCAAAATGGTTTCTCTTCACCATATTTCTCAAACCTAGCACGCTTTCGATCTTAAATTAGTTATCTACAAAAGTAATAACAATTTCAAGTATCATCCGAACTTTAATGATGAATGCAGACATTGCAAAGCAGTTTAATCACAATTTTCCAACCCAATCGCTCGACATTTCCCATTTTGAAACGACAATTCGCCTTTAGGGTTCGTCTTTCCCTAGATTTTTCCCCCAGAAATAAATTTCACCCATAAAATCAAGATTTACAGATCCTACAATGCGAGCGCCAAACAACCAGAAACTCAAATTTCATCCAAAACAATTACAGCCAACAAAACAACGTTCCGATTCAAACCAGCACCGCCCAACCAGATGAAATCAAGGTTTCAGAAAAGAAGAAAAAGACGAGCCTCGACCCATACTGATCGATCCAAACAACCAATTCGAAGAAAAAGGAATTCGAACACGGAATCAGAAATGGAATTTAAAAAAAGCACAGATCTCGTGAAATTGAACGCTAAAAGCAAGAAACAAAGGGGGATTCCTTCGTCAATCGTACCTTGCCATTGGCTGAAGCCATGTCTACAACTCAGAGCCGGACAGATCGGCCGGCAGGAAGATCCTGAATAAAGCCAATTATATAGATCGGATCAGCGGTGAAGCGTTGACGGAAAAACAAATTGTCGGCGAGGTCTAAGAAAAACGGGAAGATTCATATAAATCGGCGATTTGGTCCACCCGGGTCCTGCGCTTTCTATGGGCCGCTCTTTTCATTGCAATGGGCTCGTGACTCGTGTACGCTCGTAGGTTTTTAATTATTTTTGTAAATATTCATATTTTAAAATTACTTTTCTAAGTCTTATTTTAGCTTCTGGATTCTCGTCAGCTGCTATTATTAAATTTTTTAATTATTCGTTTCATTTTTTCATTTTTTAAGTTGACCATTTTAATTCTAGTATTTATTAATTTTATTAATCATTTAATACATATATATATATATATATATATGTATATATAAATGTACCTTAAAATATATAATAATGGTAATGAAAAAAAATAGTTTAAAATTTGTAGATTTTATCATATTTTATATTTAAAATAATAATGCATGTATTACACGTGGCAAATCAAATTACTATTTTACTTATTACTTTTGTTTAGGAATTCTGTGTGTGTGATGATAAATTAAAATAGCTCAAATTCAGTACATACTGTTATTGTTAGCCTCATTACCAAATAAGATATTTTTTATATCTAATTCTTAATATATATATATATATATATATATATATATGATGGGTAGATTTATCATTAATTGCCTTGATTAATTTTTGTTTGAAAAATAAAACACCGCCGTTAAAACTAATTAAAATTTCAGTAAAAAGATATATTGAGAAGGACTAATAATAACTATTATTAAATGATTAAAAATAAGGGGGAAAAAGTCTGTATCCATTAAAATTTGATTCACCCAACCTAATAATAATCCTAATAAATAAACTAAAAACCTAATTATTATTATTATTTTCATTTGAAAGCAACATCCACCCACAACTCTAAAAGTGGAAAAGAAAAAAAAAGAAAAAAGAAGGTGGGCCCCACCATCTCACTTGGATGCTGATGCCTGGTTATTGTGTCGTACATTAATTAAAAAAATATTGGATAAGATTGAAAAATATAATCATTTAATTCTGTGAAAATATATGTACCGTATTGAGTGGAAAATGATTCAAACAATTGATGGACTTCCCGCCGTCCGATCCTCCAGTGAGATCGAATCCTCGCCCTTGAAGCTGTGGTCGGACGAGGAAGTGGAAATGGCGATCATATCGTTCAGATCGGACACGCTATCTTGTAAAGTGAGAAGCAAATGAGCGGTACTGAAGCTTGTCGATGGCTTAGACCGAGGGACGATCGGAATCTCTGAATCGCCGATTAACATTTGCACTACGCCTCTCATTGTGGGTCGGGTCATCGGATCCGGGTGAGAACAAGCCAACCCAACTAACAAAACTTTCCTCATCTCTGATTCTTCAAACTCCCCACCGAGTCTCCCATCGGCCGCCGCCAACAGCCGTCCTTCCCGGTGTAAACTCCAAACCCAGTCGACTAAATTACTGTTGACGCCAAATTTTCCGGCGCCGCTCTCTTTCTCGATCGGTCGTCTGCCACTGGCGACTTCGAGAACAACCGCGCCGAAGCTGAACACGTCGGTTTTTTCGGTCGCCCGTCCGGTGAGGAGATATTCCGGCGCTAAGTATCCCATTGTGCCAGCGGCGACTGTGGCGTCCGGCGATTTATCGTGCTCCACTTGTCGGGCCAACCCGAAATCGCCTAAACGGGCATTGAATCCTTCGTCTAACATTATATTACTGGTTTTAACGTCTCTGTGAATGACCTGATTTTCACATTCTTGATGCAAATAGGCTAAAGCAGAGGAGACGCCGAGAAGGATTTTTTTCCGGTGAGACCACGGCAGCGGCGTACTGGCCTCGAACAGAGCTTTATCTAAACTCCCATTAGGCATTAAATCGTAAACGAGTAAAATTTCGCCTTTCTCGTGACACCATCCTTGAAGACGGACCAAATTCCGGTGGCGGAGAGTTCCGATGATAGAAAGTTCAGACAGGAATTCATTTTTCCCTTGTGTACTATGGCTACACCGTTTCACCGCTACAATGTCGCCGGTCTCCGGCAGAATCCCTTTATAAACAGTCCCAAAAGCGCCATGGCCAATGATTCTGTTCGAGCTGAAGCCTTTGGTGGCGATTTTCAGCTCCTTGTAAGTGAATTCCTTAGGCGTTTTGATGATTTCTGAAGCGAGGGAGTCCGATTTTTTAACCCGCTTAATCTTTTTGGAGTATACCCAAATCAACCCGCCGGCGAATAATGCTAGAACAAACGCCCCCGCCGTCACAACTCCAACCACCGCGCCGGCACCTTGCTTGCATAGTCCATTGTGGCAGGACGGAGAGTTGGTATTCTTTTGGGTGTTGGAATCTGAACCCGACGGAGGTTGTGACGGCGGCGTTGACCGGACGACATTCGCCGTTGGGTTCATCAGCGTCGTCGTTGGCGGCGGCGGAACCGACCCGGGTGGGGAATTCGAGTCAAACGACGACGTAAAGCTCCACCAGTCCACACTGTGAACTTCCGTACTCCCCTGTGTGGAACCGGAAAATCCGACGTACATAAAATCGTTCAAATACGGGTCGAGATCGAGATTGAACGACATTAGGGGTTCTGTCGGTTTCAAATTCGAATACGAAACGAAGATTTTGAAGATCCGAGCCGACCCGTCGTATTCGATCCACGAATTTACCGTATCCCCACTTTTGAGATCGATTCCAATTCCGTCCAGATCTTTAACCTGTAACGAAACCATGTCGTTCAGATCCAATCCGACATGGTTCCCATTAATGTCCTTAAATTCGACATCCATCAACGTGTCGAATTCCACCGCCACGAATCCCAATCCCCTTTCGTCGGCCAGCCCCAAAAACCCACCGGCACCACCGAGCGTCTCATCGTCCGGCGAGATTAGAAACGCCAAACCGCCACCGATCGACGACGGGTTGAGATTAGTGATGGAGAAAGAAAAAAATGTGGAGAAACTGGCGAGATAATTAATCCCCGGCTGCCGGAATCTGATGGGTTTGGCGTAGAGGACTCTGCCGGCGCCTGAATTTGGGACGGCGAGGTCTCGTGTGAGTCTGACGCTCCCGTTGTTCAAGTGGGCATCGCCGAGAAGCTTTAAACTGCTGAGGGCGACGGTTCCGAAGTCAAATTCGGCGGCGGAGACGGCGGTGGTAGAGAAATCGAAAAAGGCAGTACTGGAAAAGGAAAAAAGAAGTATTGTGAAGGAAATTACAGAGGAAATGGGAGAGAAATTCAACATTATTGAGATTAAGCTCTGTTCTTCAGACCCATCTCTGGTTTTTCCTTATCGGCCAGAGTGTAATTGAAGAAGACGATGAACAAATCACGGGCTAGAGAGAGAGAGAGAATAATGGAATTTCTTGGGCTTAAAAAACAGACTAAACCTCAGAATACAAACAAGGAATACTAAGAGAATCCAAAGAGAGAGTGAAGAAGACAAGTGGATTGCCGTTGCGACACGTGTCCATCCACAACGGTCCATTTTCGATGATAAAGCAAGCTTTGTTTCCCCTTTTTTCTTCTTTTCACGTCTTTTGTCGCACGTGCCTCCAACGGCGAGTGATTCCACGCTTTTATCTTCCAACCCACGTGGCCGCCTTTTATTCGGTGGCATCGTTGCGTTCTCCATGTCATCTTCTGATTTGGCAAAACCACTACAAATTTAGTAACTTATTATAAACAAAAGTGCAATTTTTTCCCTTCAAAATTTAATATATATTTTTAAGTTCATGAATTTATTAAATCAAAACTTAAAAATGGTTAGCTAAGCTTTAATGATGTATTTTTATAATGTAATAAAAAATATATATAATTTTTATAGTATTTTGTGCATTTTATGATTAAAATATTACCCCAATTTTTTTCGAAAGTAGCCATAATTGCACATCTCAAAACACAAAAGTTTCGGGCTCCACATGATGATTTGAAAGTCATGACAAAGTTCTCTTTATTAAAATGATGATTTTAAGTTTTTGCAAGGAAATTATTAAATTAAAATTTTCAATTTTATATTTAAAATATATTAAATAAATCGATAAGAATGAGAATTTAAACATCTAATCTAAAATAAATAGATAAATATTTTTAGAAAGCATTAATTATATTTTTTAGTTATTTAAAAAATAATTATCCTATTGGTCCTCGAAGTATATTTATTTGGTCCTAATTGGAAATAAAATTAAAAAAAAAATTAAAAAATTTAATCAATAAAATAAATGAAATTTGAGAAAAGAGGAAAAGAAAAAGAAAAGGGACAAAAAAGTCAAACCCAAACAGATCTGCTCGATTTGTTTTTTTCTATCAAATTTCTACTTATAGGTGACTAATGACTAGGCGAATGGACTACTGAAACGCTGTCGTTTTATTGCCACGTCATACATAACTATTTTTAGCTCGTGAGCACGTGGGCCACCGTTCGATTTATTTCACTCTTTTTCACATGTAGGGTCCCGATTTGTTTGGTTTGCGGTTGGATTTGATGATGAGCGTATCATGGTTGTTGGTGGTGCTGACCGTAGAGGATCAGGAGGAAATCTCGAGAAGTATGGTGCTGACGAGGATTTTCAAATCGATGCGGGCCCCACGGGTAGTAAACAACGCACGGGACCTCTAATTATGTGAATCTTGACTAAGTTTGATCGGACGGTCCAGGTTGGTTCATTTTTTTTCCACTTTTTAATGGAGTGCTTTTGAAGGCCTTTCGAAAGCCCATTATTTTTAACGTAAGAATCACTGTTTTATCTTTTAAGCATTAACAAATACGAATTATTCGATGTGTTTTTTTTTTTCTTTTTTTTTTTTTTTATTCCAAAGCTTTCTTTTCTTTAAGAAAAAAAAAATTATTAATTAATTTCCGCCTCATGTACCAAAGTCAAACAGTTGGTCAATGTTAAATTTTTAGATTAGTCCACAATTTTTTACTATTTATCTATGTACCCCTTATTTCATAACAATTTCATTCCTTTAGCAAGATAGTTTTTAAACATTTCCTTTTGTTGGAACGGGAAAAGTTTACATCACAATACACTTTTTTACCTCAATTATGTTAAATTGAGATTAATTAACAAACCGACAATCTTTCCTAATCTCTCCTTCATCTCCGGTGAGGGGATTGTTTTCCGACAGCAAACGAATTCCCCTTGAGAATTGAGCATGGAAATATTGATTATCAGCTGCAAATTTCTTAACGTAGGGGAGCGTAAGAGGATTAGAAGCCAATTCTTGGTCCACTATGAGCAATCCCTTGTGATTCAGTATATTACTGTAGTACATATTATCCAGAATCATCGGCGTCTCCCGATCATTTCTCGAATACAATACTGCTTTCGGGTCTGGATTTGGCGTCGGGCATCGACCTTTCAAGTATTTCGCGTACTCGGGGTCGAGGGTTGGATCCACGCTTGGATATAGCCTCTCCACTAAGTTCACACAGTGAACTCGCCCGACCGAGTGAGCTCCTGAATTACGTCATTTCAAAGTTAATGAACTAAACTTATAACTCATTGAAAGAAAAAAAAAAAAATCAAACGGTTCGAGAACATAAACGAACCTAAAAGAGCGACCGCTGCTTCGGTATCAATTCCGATGGAGCTAAAGAGGGAGAGAACATTTACAAGAGATTCATTGTGCCTGGGAACATATGCTTCAACAAGATGGGAATAGCTCACTTTGCTGTCTCTTCTCCCCGTTTTCAACTCGATTTCAGGCCCTTTTAACTGTACATCAAATCCAACCCATTTCAAATAATTAATCATATATTAATATTTCCCTCGAAATTTTATAAACCGTTCGTAACATACCATGATTATGCCATATTGAGCCGATAGCGCAACAATGTCAGCACAAGATACAGTGAGAGGGCATTCTTGTTCAACAGCAGCTTTGATCTTATTTACGTATTTGAAATTTCTCATCCCAAAACTTCGCTCTGAATCCTTCTCTGATTCCACTCCCATCACCGTTTCCAACAGTAGAGATGCATCACAAGACTACGACATTACGTCAAATTATTAATTTTAAAAAATATATAAATTAAATAGGTTAGGAATAAATTGTAAGAATAATTAAAATACTGAGTTAATTAATTACCTTAACAATGCAATCATGGAAGAGATTTCTGAGCCACGAAACGGCAGTGTTTCCATGTTCATAGTAGAGATCGGCAACTTGCTGTTTTATAATTTCTTCAGCTTTTGGGCAACTTTTAGCATAATAATTCATTTGCAGTTCGCCCCTTCCTATTTTCAAATTTACAAAATTGGATCATATTAAATTAAATAACATTATCATTTTTCGTTAAAAAAAGAAAGAAAATAAAAAATTGAACCTGAATAAAAGAGCTGCAGAAGGAGGAGAAGAAGAAGGCTCAAATGGTTCTTGGCCGCCATTGTCGAGCTCTTGAAGCTTCCTGGTTTTTGATGAGCAACCATTTTTATGGTCCTTTTTATAGTGGTAGAAGAAGGAGCATAGGCTTTTATTTTATTATTATTTTTATTTATTTTTGTGTTTGTGCATTTATATTGGGTCACGGCCGACGCGATAAATTTTATTTTTGTAATTATCATGATAATTATAAATTTTATTCCACTTGATTTTTGATAATTGTTTTTGTCAACATTATTATTATATTTTTTATGTAGGGGAATCTCAGATGGTTAATTAAATTAATTAATTAAAGAATTAAAAATTGTTTTATTTCAACGACTTTGATGGTTACTCCACCATCAATGAGAATGTCAAAGTCAATTGCAGTGGAAAATTAATGTGGTAAGTAAATTTCAAAGCCGTAATTAACATGTAATATATATATATATATATTTTTGGCTAAAATAAAATTTAAATCTCAATTTTATTATATTAAGGTATAATTTTTAGAAAATATATTATAATAATTAGTTATGAAATCTATCTTAGATATTCGTATTTTATTTTAGGATTTGATCGATAGCATATTTTATCTCATTTTCAAGATTTAGTTAATTGGTAAAAGATTGCAAACATTAATAAACATTCGACTTTCTATCTCACCTCTATTTCTTATTTTCGACTTTTTATCTCACCTCTATTTCTTATTCTTAACCTAATATTTATAATTGAAAGTGTGTGGAATGGAAGTCCCCTTCCCATTATACGCCACTTTCTTTGACCACACGCCACCACCCAGCGGTGGGCCCTACTTAAAAAATAATCAAATTGAATCGATTTTTTTTAAATGGTACACAAAAATAAAATAAAATTAAGATGTTATTATTATACTTAAATTTTAATTTGAAATGTGGTTTAATATATATATTAAATAAAAGTATATATTGTGGTTGAGGATTATCGCTAAATCATTATCCAACTTGAATAATTAAATTTTTAATATAAATTTAAAAATAAATACATAGGGTACGTTAATTATGCGTGCCTAACCAAGTCAATGGAAACTTGACAGAGTTTCAATAAATAATATTAAAAAGTTCGGTTGGCACATGCGTTTCAAAGTTCTTATTTATTTATTTTTATTTGATTATTCTTTTTAATTATCTTAATCATTTGCGAATTTGAGTAATTAAAGGTAGATTATGAACAGGGAATGAGAGGAAATTATGTTATTCTAAGCATTTAATTATTTTTATAATGTAAGATAATAAATATTTTGATTGGAAATATATTTATAAAAGTGTTTAAGTGAAAAAAAAATAATAAAAAGGCTCTTATTATGTGCCACGTGTTCCAATTCTAAGTTTGTATTTATAATGTCAAATTATTTAAATTCTGTAAAGAGAAATTATTATTATTATTATTATTTTGTATTTTTAATGCATCAATAATTGGAAATAGGGATGGGATCGCGGGCAGTATGAGTTGGAAGCTATCCAACTTGGTCATTTTTGGGGGTTTCTTTTTTATTATTTAATTATTGAAGAAAAATTCAACCTTTCCCGAATATAAAATTGTTTCAAATAAATTTAGAGATTTTAAATTGCATTTTTATTATTTTTTATTGGATATAGTACAGAATCGCTGGATTGTAATTTGACTGCAAACTTCTCTAATAATTTATGAATTTATATTTTATATAAATTAATTTTTAAAATTTTAGTCAAATATTTGGAGTTATATGTTTTAATTTCAGAAGTTTTTTTTTTCTGGTTACGTTAAAGACATGAAAAAAAAAAACAAAAAAAAAACCATTGTGAAACATTTTACACTCTATCCATATATTTAAGTATTAAGAGTTTTAAATTAATAAAATTATTTATTATTTATTATTTTTAAATTTTAAAAAAATATCAATGCTCGATCAAACTATTAATATTTTGTTTTAAATATTTATAACTGTGAAAATTTCATTAATATTCTTTTATTTAAAAAAAATTAAAAACACTTTTAAAATTATTTAAAAAATTAATTAACAGTTGCGAACTTCTTAAAAACAAATTAAAAAACTTTTACCATTAATATATGGACGGAGCATTAATACCACGTTTACCATAAACTTTTAAACTAACATTAATACTCATAAGCTTTTAGAAAAAAAAAATAAAAAAAGTTTGGAGATAATTTATGAAGTTTAGATATTCCATTTCGTCCATATATTAATAGTAAAAAAATTGAATTTTTTAATAAATTTTAAAAGAGTTAATGCTATTTTTTTATATTTTAATTATCTAAGAATATTTTAAAAACTATTTTTAAAAAAAATCAAAGGGTATTAACGGAGCTTTGGGTATTTTTATTAATTTATTTATTTTTACATCAAGTTTGACTTTTGCTTGATTTTCTCCCTCTCTTTTAATTTCTTATAAGCTTTATCTTTTGCTTCTCACTAAAAAAATGTATCCATATTCGCTGATGGATAATATAAATAAATAAATAAATAAATATATATTTATTTATTATGAGTGATTTTCTTGTTTTTTGTTTAAATGGAAACGTAATCTTGAAGATAAATCAATCCCATATATTTCAAAGAATTAAAATTATTTATTTATTAAGGTAGCTTTCAAAAATTATTAAATAAATAAAAGGTTCGACACCATATAAGGCCCATTATTTCCAACGCCTGGGCTTTCCAAGCAGTCAGGCCCATTTTAAGGTAGGCAACCATCAGGCCCATTATAAGCGATGCAAGTCACCAGGCCCAAAATCTAATAAAAAAAATTCATTATTGGACTAATTTTTCCAACAAAAAAAGAAAAAGGGTCGGTAGACATAAATATAATTCTTTTAGAAAATTAAAAAAAAAAAAATTTGAAAACTGTACGGATTTTGATTATGTTTTAAACTAAATCAGATAACGTAAAATTTAAAAATATTATAAATAGTGTTATTAAACACGATAATTCTTTATTTTTATATGTTCTTTTGGACGTATGCATCTTAAAAATTGATGGTTCGATCTCGTTGAACTTTATATATATATATAAAATTAACAAAATAACAAAATTGTTTAAAAATAAATAAAAAAATAAAAAATAAGTGTTAAAATTTTCTTATTGAATTTCAATTGCAACAGTTGTAGCCCAAGATCTTAGGTGTTTCTTCATGTCAGTGGTTGAAGAAAGTTTTGGCATCCTGAGGTTTAAAAGAGGGGAGTTTGGTCGGTTTATTGTCCATGCCTCTGAAAGATACGGTCTTGCTATATCTCTTTTCTTATCGTCATCGTTTTCATCTACGTCGTCGAGATTTTGTTTGTCCATTCGAGCTTTAAACCTCTGCAAACCAGGTACCAACTTCAGCATTTGAGGGCTCAAATTTTCTGTCCTAAATTGAAACCCTAAATCCATAAACCCTTTAACTTCCTCCAGCTCCAACTCCCCCAAGCTTTTACAACTCATAGATTTGTTCAATTTGTTCCTCACTGCACACAACAATTCTCCACATTTTATTAATTGGGTTTCAAAGTTTATGTATGATAGTAATAATAATTCAACTCACTTGTAAATTCAGGATCACTGACACTTTCTTGCATTGACTCTTCCTTTCCATCTTGTTTATATTTGTCTCCATTGATACCATCATCTTCCTATACAAAACAAACATCAAAATCACTTTTAGTAGAGCGCACGAGGGAGAAGGGTTACATGGGAGAGGAGGGAGGCGTCGTCGAGGGAGATGCGGTCGGAGGAAAGGGAAGAAGGGAAGTTTGAGAAAGGAAAAGTTGGGTGGAGATGGGAAGTGAAAGGATGCGAAGAGGAAAGAATGATTTGGTGGTGCCAAAGGCGATCCATGGCTGAAACAAGACATGAAGTGGTTGTGTTGTTGATAGCCATGGAAGAGCAAAGAGTGGGAGGGAAACAAAGATTGGGATATAAAAGAAGCCATGGAAGTGAACGCAGAGTTGCGGTGGAAATGAAACAAGAAGGAATGAGTTCTCAAGCCCAATCAAAAATTAAACGAATATTGGAGGATGAGTTACTTTTAAAATGAGTTCTCAAGCCCAATCTTTTAAAATTTTATTTTATACCTTACTACCTCTGAATTTGAGATGAGTTACTTTTTTATTTTTTTATAGGTAAAATTTCTTTAAAAATTATTTTTTGAAGAGATATATGGAAGGAAAATCATAAAACAAAATTATTTAATGTGTTTTTATTATCTGTTAATCAATTTAGTGGCTATACTTTTTCTTTCCATTTTGGGCCTTCATGGTAAGGTAACTTCCGGCCTGAAAAATGAAATGGGCCACTTTGCTGTGGGCTTCACAAGTTTGGGCTGCCCTTCTCGACCTGAAATTAGAGGATAAAAGGGAATTGTTATTTGTTTTTATATGAAATTTTAGATTTATTGTTTAATCGGGTATTAATTAATGGGGTAGTTTTTCATAGCAAATTCCACGATTTTGTTGATTTTTAAAATTAGACATAAAAATGGAAGCTTAAAATTTGAGAGTTTTATTTGTTTGTTTGTTTTGTGAGAATATAGTCGTAATTTTATCATAAATTTAAAGCTTTTAAACTGAAAGTTTGCCTCGGTGAGTAGAACAATCAGCGGGAATTTTGTTCAATCAGCGGCGGTACTGGCACTGGCGCACAACTTTTGTAGATATTCGGAACCGCGTTCACCGTTGAAGCTCACCGGAAACCCTATCGAAGCACGGAGGCGAATAATCGAAGATGAGTGTGATCGACCTTTTGACCAGAGTAGACGCGATCTGCCAGAAGTACGACAAATATGATGTAGAGAAGCAGAGAGATCTCAATGTCTCTGGTGACGATGCTTTCGCTCGACTCTATGACACCGTCGAAGCCGACATTGAAGCCGCTCTCCAGGTTTGACACTGATCCCTCAGTCAATTTCTCAGTTCCTACTCGTTCTGTTGCTGGATAGGGAAATGAAGGTTATCATATTGGTTGCTTGTTGCTTTTCTGATCTAGATTTAATTCAGTGGTTGAATCGTCATTTTTAGTGATTCGTAGATGATTTTGCATTTTACTTTGTCGGCGTGGAGGATTGGATTCTATTTTAGGAGCTATTTTGTTGTGTAGAAAGCGGAGGATGCTTCCAGAGAGAAGAATAGGGCATCGGTTGTGGCGTTGAATGCGGAGATTCGTCATACCAAGGCTCGATTACTAGAGGAGATCCCCAAGTTGCAGAGATTAGCTGTAAAGAGGGTTTGTATTCACTGTCTTCACTGATTTTGTTTGAAATTTCACTTTCATTGCTCAAATTCCAGCTTAACCCTGGATGTTTCCTATGAATTGATGAGAGTATTGTGATGAATCGATTAGTTTCCTAAATTCATTCTGCATTTAGGATGGTTTTGGAATTTTTATACTCTTGTTGAAGTTGAGCGACTGGATTTGAATTGTGTTGCTTCTTCCTATATGTTGCATCGGATGGTCACATAATCTATTTACAGGTTAAAGGACTATCAACTGAAGATCTTACCACTAGAAATGATTTGGTGCTTGCATTGCCGGATAGGATTCAAGCTATACCAGATGGAACTACTTCTTCCTCAAAGAAGAATGGGGGTTGGAACTCCTCAACTTCACGTGCTGAAATCAAATTTGACTCGGGTGATGCTTTAAATCTAGCTGAATTTCGATCAACCATTGTTGTGAAAATTTCTTTTTACTTTTAGTTGCGAGTACCTTGCATTAATCGTATTTTTGACCTGCACATTTGAATTGATAAAAGATGGGCGATTTGATAATGAGTACTTCCAACACACTGAGGAGTCGAGTCAATTCAGACAAGAGTATGAAATGCGGAAAATGAAGCAGGTAAACTATATGTATAGTGTAGTCTCTTTATTCAAGAACGAAGGCTGCATGCTTACTGGTCAATGGCTGTGGTTTAAACCCCTTGTTTTGCGCACATGCAGGATCAAGGATTAGACATGATATCAGAGGGGTTGGATACTCTGAAGAACATGGCGCATGATATGAATGAGGTTATTTATCTTCTATGCCCCGTTTTTTTTTTCATTATCAGTATATTAGTTGATAGTGACTGTCGCATGTTATTTGCAGGAAATAGACAGGCAAGTTCCTTTGATGGACGAGATTGACACTAAGGTATTTGTATCTTTATTTATTCATACATATATGTATATATGTACTTGCAGTCTCGATATTCATGTTTATAATCATCACCAAAATTACCTTTTGAATCATGTCAGGTGGACAAGGCTGCATCTGACCTTAAGAACACCAACGTTAGATTAAGGGACACAGTTAACCAGGTTTTGCTTTGTTCCTCTAATCTTCATTATTTAACCTTTGTTGTCGGTTCCTGAAGTGTATATCCCTGTGCACATATGTGCTTATCCTTGTGCATGCACAATACCTTGATTTATATGTATATTTGTAGGACGTTTGTATGTGTATCTAATGTGGGTTTTATTTGCTACAGCTAAGGTCCAGCAGAAATTTCTGCATTGATATCATTTTGTTGTGTATAATCTTGGGTATTGCTGCCTATTTATACAAGTAAGTTTGTACCTTCTACCTCCTTGCCCCCTAAAAAAGAGTGACAATTATAATCTTGTGCAATGTTTTACTATTTCCTTCGCATAATGAATCTCACATATGCTATTTTATGGGCTGTTTGGCTAGAGAGGAAAAATAGAATTTTAGAGAGATGGAGAACTTGTGTGATGAGGTTTGGTAGACGGTGAAGTTCATTACCTCCTAGTGAGCTTTGGTCGCTAGGCCTTTTTGTAACTATGACCTTGGTTTGATTTTGTTGGATTTGAGTCTTTTTTTGTTGGGCTAATTTTTTTTGATTGCCCTTGTACATTCTTTCATTTTTCTCCAAGAAAGCTTGGTCTCTTTACAAAAATAAAAAAATAAAAAATAAAGAAGAAGAAAAATGAGAAAAGAAAGAAAGAAAAAGATTCATGTTGTGAAGGAAAAAAAGTAGTTGTAATATTTCTCTACTCTCCTTCTTTCTCCCTCCCTCCTCTTTCTTTCTTTCATTAGTAAACTGATGTTTGGCGTGGATTAAGTTACTTATCAAAATTATTCAAGGAAAATGCTTTTGGAAAGAATAAAGAAGCCTGGATCTCTGTAGGTATTGGTTAGTTGTAATTTGATATGCTTGGCTTCTTGTCAAATGTGCAATCAATTGGGATCCTCTTTTGGGTTGTGATGGTGAATGAGAATCAAAATACTCTCCTGGGGAACGGTCTTAAGATAAGTACCCTTGTCTTTGGAGGTGTCCGCTAGGTCGCAAGGAATAACCCCTTATACACTGGTTATAAAAGATAAGGAGGACCCTGTCAGAACAAAGGATGGAGGTGTCATGGTTCATCTAGCCAGAACCATTTCCTTTATTTAGAGAGATTTTATCATGTAATTATATCTCAAAACCGTTGATATGTTAGCAGAAGTTGTTTTGTTTCTTTTTTGGTTGACCATGGAAAAAGCATTTTGAAGTTCTAATAGAGTCTACTTCCTCTGCAGTGTGTTGAAGAAGTGAGCTAACAGAGGGAAAATTCTTCATCTTCTTGTAGAATATGTGTCAAGCTTGCTAAGATGAGTATCTATATCGAGTACATTATCCGATCGTGTTTCTGTTGTTTACACTTATTTGTATGTCATATTCTTTTACACAACTCACACTGTATTATCAAATCTTGGGTATGTTGCTTGATTCTTGAATGTTCACTTGTGCAACCTCTCTTTGCTTTCGACTTCAAATCGAACACTGATCTCCATGATTAATACTTTAGCTCCTATATAGGACTCAGATCAATTAAGGATAAATTTGATACAATACATACTTCTAAGCATTTATTAATGTGTAGAAATGTAGTGCGATAACAGCCATCTGTTGAATATCGTTACTATTTGAGGTCATGGAGTGCATAGTTGGTCTTCCAATCCTTCCCTAATGGAGAATGGATATAACATGTATCTCAAAATTGATCTTGATCATACTTTGAGATCAACCAAAGACGAGCAAAGTCGGAAGTGATTGAGACGGTAGTCCTTGAGTCTCCTCTCTGCCCGCTAGCCTGGGTGAAGATGGAGACAAGGAATAAGGATTGAGACTCCTTGTTTTGACAGAACTATATAGGGGTTAGCTTTGTAAATTAGATGTGTGTAGAGCCTCCGTAGCACTTCTTGGCTGCTTCCCATGCCAGATCACATAGCTTTACAAAGGAAAGTCAAGCAGCCCCTCCCCCCCCCCCCCCCC